GACATGGGGCTCCCGAGGAGGCTGGCCAGGGCTGTCGGTGTCCTCCGGGCCCTGGCAGGGTGCTTCAAAGAATGCTGTCACTGTGAAACATTAAAAATTTATCTTACTAAAATCCAGGAACTTATGAAGGATGGGAAAGATATATGTTTACATAACTTTTTTTTGGTTTTAGCCTCTATTTTATTGTGAGGCCTTAATGTTCTCATTGTGATTATAATAGGTGTGAGAGTGGCTTATTTAGACAATGATTATATGTACAAATTTGGTAGCTGTGAGCTTTCATGCTCGTGCACGTCCAGTGGTATTTGGGCGTGGGGGAAAAAATAAAACTTCTGAGAACTGTTTTGTGTGTTATTGCAGGAACTGTTCAAAAGTTGATGTGTGAGAAGTTGGGTTTTTTTTAATATATATTTGTGTGGCTTTGTTGTTATTCTTTGTCAGAGATTTGTTCATAGTCTGCACCTGTGGTTTCAAAAGCTTGTTTCTTCTCTGAGACTCCAGCAGCAGTGGAGGCTTACTTAGGCGATTTATGTAAAATCTTATGAATCTTCTGTAGTCTAATAAGAATAGAGTGAAACTCGAGAAGAATTTCTTTATGCTGTTTTCCATAAACAGCTGCCTGGTCTGTTGGAATAGAATAGCAGAGGTATCCCATGGGGAATAGAAATGGTAAATAGGAAAAGTAACTTTTAAAGCTTTTTAATGCTGTTTTCTTTTTCTTTTTTTCCTCAATGTAAATTTATGAATCCTAAACAAATTATTCTAAGTGTTCAGAATTTAGTAAAACATTTCTGTAAGAAATTGTGGTTGGTTCCATATGCATTTACTCAGTCTCTAATTCTTTTTAAAGCGGACTTTAAAATCAGGAAATATTTATGCTCAGCTCTGCCTCTGGCAGCAGTACGTCCATGTCTGTGTTCCTTAAATTTTCAACAAAGGTTAGAGAATTTCTTGCTTAGTTTTGGTTTTGGCAAGTCAAGTTACTGCAGTGTTAGGTCTTGGCCTCTTACCATATTGACAGGCATGAGGGTTCTCTTTCAAACGTCCCTGCGCATCCTTGCCATCAACGCCAGTGTTGTACTGACACTGATTCATAATCCATTAGTTTAGATATCTAGGGAGCATAACAGATTCTTGGATAGGTTCCTTATTTTAAAAAATTCTAAATAGCTGGCAATAGTTTTTGAGTAGAACTTTTGCCGATGATTTCAGCATAGTACTCAGAGGAACCAGTGTATTTCCTGACTCCACAGCTAATCTTACCCCCCAGGAGAATCTGAAAGCTTTTAGATGCAACAGAGGGTGAGCAATTACAGTGCTCTCCTGTGAGCATTGTATTGTGAGCTTTTTTTTTTTTTTTTGAAGGTGATAAGGTAGAAGCTATGAGACTGAATTTATTCAAATCCGTGGAAAGGAGATACAGATTTGGTAGTGGAAAGTCAGGGAAGCTCTGCTGCACTGAAAAAGACCTAATCTGGCGAGTTATTCTTGTCATGTTCTAGACTGTAAGACTGTATACTGGAATAGTTTAATATGGTATTTGAGACCAGGAACTCTTGTTCTGAATCTGCCTCTGATGCTTCTTGTAGGAAGTCATTTAACCAATATTTCTCAACTCCTTTTTGACAAAAAAAATTGTTAAAATTAATAGCAAAGCACCACTCACATGCTATTATGAAATAATTTAAAATTAATTTAATATGGGCCAGTTTGTTTTTATTATGTGTGGGTTTCTTTTTTCTGAAATAGAATTTATAAGAACTTTGTGTAAGTACCATTAGAACCTAGGGAGACTAGTACTGGGTGAGAGGAAGAGACTACTAGTATTAGTCTCTCTCTTCTAGTAGAATCTTCTCTTAATATACCTCTTCAAAATGTACGTGCTAGTAACACGTTTGTGTTCGGTAAGCCAAACATACAAAAAAGTACTTTAAAAATGTTTGATGCTTTTATAGATTTGTAAAAAGTACTGTTCTGTTATAAGCGCCTTTTTGTAGATGCTCATAGATTATAGACAGACTGTAGATGATAGAATACATCTAAACCTTCATATCTTCACTAGGTATTCTGGGTGCTTTTAAGAAGTCTGACCTATCTTACTGCTGATAAACTGTGAAGAAACCTTGAGAATGCCATAAAATATAGTCTTTCCTCTATAATCCTTAGACTGGGCAAGCTAATTCATAGGGCAAATACATCTATAAATCCAATGGCAGTTAGGAAATTTGCCTCCAGGTTCTCTGTCATAGCTCAAAATGTTTCTATTTATTATGCATTGTGCAGTTTGGACTCTTGCCATTTTAGATAGAACTGTATGTCTGTATCTTTTTATTGATCAACGAGCACCTAGTCAGTGTTTTCTATGATATATAAGTAGGCTTTAAGAAAGAATACTGTGAATTATAATGCCTCCCCGGAGACTGAAAAGATAGGAGGATAGCATCTTGTGGTACTCTAGAAAAATCTGTTGAATTGGAACTTCTATTTCTATTGCAGACCAGCAATCATCTCCTTGGGCCAAAGCCATTCCCCCTGGACAGATTGTTAGCAATATTATATAGTATTGTGGACAACAGAGTTGCTCCAACTGCAAATATATTTTCCCAGGTAAGTGTATACTTACGTTCTTTGTTTTCTTTTTCTAACCAGAATTCCTGAAAAGGTTTTACATTATTTTTGGTAAGTCATCACCCTAACGAAATGTAATGAGAAAATAACCATGTAATTTAATAACCAGTAATTTAAGTCTAAGGCTCAGGATAATATTCCTCTGTATTACTAGCTATGAATTCAGGATTGTATCTGTGTAATGGTTTGAAACTTTCTAATAGCTAATATTTTCCCTAGGCCTGGAATGCGATCCATGTTGATTAGTTCCTTGGTTTCTGATTGATGTCTATTGGCCTACTTGCCTTTAAAATTTGTAAGTGTTCACAGTCCAGTGGACAAAACTAGGCACCTTGTAATGCATGGTATAACAATCTAATGGTCAAGAAAAAGCAGAGGGAGGGTTAAGTTATTTGCAGGTGAAAGGCATTTGCTGTAATTATTAGGGGTAATTTTTTTCATTTGGACCTGCTATAAGTGTCCTGCGGAGGAGTCTGAATATCACATTTCACTAGGTGGCAGCATAACTATAGTGTTGAGTGAAATTAAGTAAATCCAAAGTTTTCTCTAGAGCTCTGGGTTTATCAAATGTAAATACCTATTCTGTATAAGTAAAGATAGTTTCCTGTTGTCAGCTTTATTCTTAGATCTTTCACGTCTGCCTTCAGGGATCTCCATTTCTTTTCTTGCTCTCCAGCTGCGCTAAGCTTCTGCTTACGGAAATATCTTCTACCTCTCCTTGTTAGGTCTGAAGTTCAACCAAGATTTATTTAAATCTGCCATCTCTGTTCACGTGAAGTTCTAGGAAAGCATTTTCAAGATATCTCAACAGTATTGCTAATGCTTTAATCATTCACCAGAGCTTTCACAAACGTTTAGGTTTGCAGAATTCATCTTCCGCATTTGCAGAACAATCCACCACAAATATACACACCTTACAATTGAAAAATACAGGACCTAAAGAATTTTGGCGTTGTATTTAATCGGTGATATGTGAATATCTTTGTTGTTAATAGTGGTGGGGCTTTACAGATGCATTAGACAGCTGTAGGATAACCTACCTTCGGTTAGCGTTTTCTCTCAAGCTCCTTCAGTTAAAGGTTACTGCATGATCTGAGGCATGAAAAATTATTCAACGTCAACCTTAAAAATAAATCTGTTAATACAAGAATTTATTTTTCTGTAATTAGATCAGTGGTTTTCAGCTTGAGAGGTCCATGGGTTAGCTTTCAGTGGTGTGCAAAAACTGGCTAAAAAAAGATCAAACTCGGCCATGTTGATGTCTCCTGTATTTGCGTTTTTTGCCTTTCTCCTGTCTTTTCAAGGCACGCCAGGAATTCACTGTGCTTTCAGGAGGAACCTTAACTGTGCGAGTATGTGAAAGCTACATAAAAGTTTCCTGTGAGCAAAGGCTATATGAAACGACCCCAAAGGTTGTTGAAACAGCTAGTTCTCTCCAGGCTTTGCGTGATGGCTGCTGCCTTCTATTTACTTATGCCAGCTTTATAGTCCAAAGAGTGCTGGGACCTTAATGTCCATTAAAAAAAAACAGAAACAAAAAAGCACAAATTTGACTAGCTGTATCTTCGCTTTTTTTTCTAGCTAGCATCAGAAGTAGCCTGACATAATTGCTTTTGTATGAATGTTGTATTGATCCTGTAATTCCTGGTTTTACTACAACAGTGCTGTGAAGTCTGTCAATCAAGGCTGTCAGTCAAGGTGTTAGTTACATCCCTGCACTGTTTTTATGTGCTTTGTGTTAGTCGGTGGCTTTCTGACTTAAGACATGAAGTGTTGAAGCTGAGGTTCAGAGAGGATTCTAAGGCAGAAAGAGATTTACTTGTTCCGTAAGTAGAACTTGTAGCAACAGGAGCAGAACTAGGTTCAGTCCCGTAAGAAATGAAAAAGGAGTCTTGTAAGACAGTTACAGAAACTCAGAAGAAGATATGGTATGATACAAGTAATGTTGAAATTGGTTTCATTTACTCCAGTTCTAATGATCCACCACATAGATATTTCCTATATTAAGCCTTTGTTTTAAGCGTTCGAAGCCGGCTGTCACTGTGATCTTTAAACATAACAATTTCAATTCAAAGATTTAATTGATTGCCTGTTAATCTGCAACTCTGAAATTTAGAGCTTTGCCTGAAATTTTGCAAGTTTCAAGGAGTAAATTGAAGTTTGGATGAATGGTTTGCACAACTCAAGTGAAAGTGAATGATGGTGACAAGAGTGCAGGTCACTAAATAGTAACATTTATGAATAGGATATTAGCTTCAAATTCTCTTTGATTTCAGCCTACAATCTACAAAAACTTTTTGGTGCATTTAAAGCCTTAACCATAATAATATTATATGGCATAGTTTTACTCCATATTTTCAAAATTATTATGTCTGCCTACTTAACATGCTGATTTTTAAGTCCAGACAAGAGAACAAATGTCATTATTCCAATACACGGTTAGGCAGCACCGAAGACATAGGGTTTCGTATACAATTACATGGTGTGTAATTCCCCCTTCTGTCCCTGTAGGTTAAACTGCAGAATGAAAATCTGTATTTGTATTTCTGCAAATTTAGAGTGTACACTAGATGGCAGTATTATCAAATAATACCAGTAATTGTTTTTTTCTGACTGTATCCAGATTAATCTGTAAGGATACAGTACAAAGGCTGTATTAAACCTTAACCAGGTTACAGCAAAGAAGTTGAGATTATATCTGTTGATACCAAAATAAAATATTATAAATGATGACTTATTGCTTTGATTTTTTTCTCCAGTTCTGAAGATATTTTTGCATTAAATGTTAATTAAAAATCCTTGAACTATCTCATATAGAATAATAAGAAATGTAATGGAGCTTAAAATGGATTTCAGACATAGCATTTAACCTTGGATTATTTATACTTTTTGTTTTCTTGAATAGTATAAGACATTTTATATTCCACTGATTGCTATGTTGGTTATTCTGTAAATATATTTTTTCAAATGAAGTAAATACTTAGGAGCAATATTACAATATCTTTCGATTTTCCTGTTAGATACCACAAGATTTTCTTTTCTTATTTATGTGGGCATCATGGAAGTTATTTTTGAAACTATACGGTGCAGAGTTTATAAATGTATTAAATTGGATATTTGACTTCTTGACTGATTCAGCTGATCATTTCCACTGATTCAACTGATTCAGCAATCATTTTATGTGCTCTTTCATTTATAGACTCAAGAGCTATACATGAGCCAAATACTATGTTCGTTCTCCCCATGTACGTTCAGAAAATAGCCCACTTCAACTTTAGAGTTGATAAACAATTTCAGTAAAGGTTCAAGAACTATTAGAAGCTGGCGTAAGATCTGGTTTATTGTTAATTTCTTGATATTTCTTGCTGCTTATTATTTCAGTGCATAGTTTCTGTCCACACAATTTCTGCTTATTAGCTCTTCAAGATAAAACTTTCCATTAATAAGTAGCAAAATTTTAATTTTCTGTTAATGCTAGGATTTATTTAAAATACTTCATTTTTGCAATATAGAATTTCAACATGGAATTTCAACATGCAATTTGAATATTGATCTAATTTTTACCTTCTGATGGCAGTTAGCCATAAAAATGGTCTTATACTTTATTCGAATAAAAAGTGCATGTCTGTCTTTCAGAAGTCTGATCTTTGCAGTTGATTCAAAGCTAAGTTTTCCCTGCTGTAAATTCATGTGAATGAACTGGGTTATATAAGGAATGAATTTGTCTCATTCATTTTGTTTTTCCTCACTAATTAGTACGGGGGAGTAGCACTAAAAAAAGTATGCAAATTGAGCTTCTCCAAATGAAAATTGTTTCAATTACCACTTTGAAAGTTGAAAGAATGCAACTTCTGCATTTTATATTATGCTTTTAAATAAAATTTTGCCACCTCTAGGGGGGGAGTGATTGAGAGGAAATTAAAGTGAGATTTTTTTCCTTTTGTGGAACATTGATATCAATACATATGTGCATATAGGTCTACATTCACTTTAGAAGTTTTCAGTGCTCCTTCTCTTCCAGAAAATTCATTGTTTTTCTTGTTCGTTCTGGTTGATCAGGTACTATTTTTAACACACTTGTAGGTTACTGTTCCCTGTCACTGAATGTGTTTGAATATGCTTGTTTCTTGTATTTGTTTATTTTAACCAAGAGATAATGGAAGTTGAAGCATTTTTTGACTTCTGTAACCACTTTATAGGACAAAATCTCTAAATGTTTTTTTCCCAGATGCACTTTTGTGTAATAATTTAACAGGTTGTAGATGGTAACACCACCACTTGCCATTTACACTGTGTTGCCTGGGACAGAGCTTGCACAGAGCTTGCTCGTGTTTTTCTAGTTGGTTGTATGGTTAGGTTGAGCATCTGGCCAATATATTTTAAAAGATTAAAAAAAAATAAAAATAAAACAAGTCATAGGGTTTCCTTTCATAGGTGCTGCAGTTGATGCTTCCTCGCAGCTGGCTTTAGCAAACTTAGGGAACAACAAGGAATGTGATTTTTGCATCAACAGGGACCCACTGCACGCAATATCAAAAGTACGTTGTGTCCAAGTGCAATTAGTACAGAATGGAGGGATACAAAGAAACAATAAATTACCACTGCAGTGTGTACTGCAAAGGTTCTGAGAGTCTATTCAACTTGTAGCACGGTAATATTTTATTTTCGATTTCTTGCCTTTAAAGAGAAACGTGACTTTATTCTCTTTATAAAACTATGCCTTAAATGGGACATACGAGTGAATTTATGCAAGCAACTCAGTGCAAGAACTATCAGCAGTGGTTTAGTTTAAATGAGCTCATTTTACTTTGAAGTGGATAAGGGCCGTTAGTTTAATATCACAGCCAGTAAGTAGGAAGATATTTTTGTTACTCTTCTGAGATTATGATTTACAAGCCAAAATTAGCCAACAGAATTTCCTCCTTTTTCAATTGCTTTTGGATATTAATTCTGTTCTTCTAACCATTCCTCATGAGTTG